CCCACAACCCCCCCCACCGCCCCCCGACCCCCTCTCTCCCCTCAGGTGAAGGCTGAGGACCCCCCGGAGCCGCCCCCCCACCTCCCCCCCACCCCACTGATGTTGGGGGGAAACCAGCTGGGGGTGAGCAGGGGTCACCAGGGGTCACGGGGTCATCAGGGGTCATGGGTTCATTAGGGGTCATTGGGAGCCACGGGGTTATCAGGGGTCATGGGGTCACCGGGGTCAACAGGGTCACCTGGGGTCATGGGGGCATCAGGGGTGATCAGGGGTCACGGGGTCATCTGGGGTCATGCGGTCATCTGGGTCACTGGGGTTGCTGGAGGTCATGGGGGTCATTGGGGTCATTAAGGGTCATTGGTAGTCATGGGGTCATCGGGGTCATTAGGGGTCATTGGGGGGTCACACGGGTCATTGGGGTCATTGGGGTCATGGGGTGAGGAGGGGTCATGCGGCTGGCACTCACCCACTGCTCTCTGTGCCCACACGTCCCCACATCTCCATATCCCCCCACCCCATTAATGCCCCCCACCCCATTAATGCCCCCCCATCCCATTTATATCCCCCCACCCCATTAATCCCCCCACCCCATTAATGCCCCCCACCCATTGACATCCCCCCATCCCACTGATGTCCCCCCATCCCCACAATGGCCTCACGTCCCCATGTCTCCATACGTCCCCCCACCCCATTACTGCTTCCACCCCATTAATGTCCCACACCTCATTCATGTCCCACACCCCATTAACGCCCCCCCACCCCACAAATCTCCCCCACCCCACAGTTGGCGGCGCTGCTCCCGGCCCCACAGCAGCTCCTGTTGCAGCAGCAGCTCCTGGCGGCCGCCGTCCATCACCGCTCCTCCGCCACCCCGAATGTCCCCCCCACCCCAAATGTCCCCAACGCCCCCATTGACCCCAATGTCCCCAACGCCGTCCCCACCACCGCCGCCGCCGCCGCCCCCACCGAGGGGGGGTCCACAGCGCTGCCCCTCTCCCACCCCATCCAGCTGACGGCGCAGGTGAGGCCCCGATGGCCCCATAGAGACCCCGATGGCCCCATAGAGACCCCAGTGGCCCCATAGAGACCCTGATGGCCCCACAGAGCCCTCCATGGCCCCATAGAGACCCCAGTGGTCCTAGAGACCCCGATGGCCCCATAGAGACCCTGATGGCCCCATAGAGCCCTCAATGGCCCCACAGAGCCGTCCATGGCCCCATAGAGACCCCAGTGGCCCCATACAGACCCCAATGGCCCCATAGATGTCCCCATACAGACCCCAATGGCCCCACATCCCCAAGTGTCCCTCAATGACCCCATACCCCCCAACACTCCCTTTCCCCTTCCAGGACCTGCAGCAGCTCCTGCAGCTCCAGCAGCTGGTTTTGGTTCCCTGTGCCCTCAATGACCCCATAGCCCCCAGTGGCCCCATATCCCCCATAGCCCCCAGTGGCCCCATATCCCCCATACCCCCCAGTGACCCCGTGCCCCCCAACGCCCCCTTTCCCCTTCCAGGACCTGCAGCAGCTCCTGCAGCTCCAGCAGCTGGTTTTGGTGCCCGGCCCCCACGCGCTGCCGCCGTCCGCTCCGTTCCTGCTGCCCCCGACCCCACAGGGACAGCAAGGTGGGGCCAGGGGTCAGGGGTCACAGGGTCAGCAGGTCATGGGGGGTTGGGGGGAGGGGGGCATTGGGAGCCTTTGGGGTCATTGGGCTCATTGGGGGTCTTTGGGGTCATTGGGGTCTTTCTTTGGGGGTGTTTATTTGGGGTCTCTGTGGTCGTTATTTGGGGTCTTTGGGGTCATTATTGGCGGTCTTTATTTGGGGTCTTTGGGTTATTGGGGTCATCATTTGGGGTCATTATTTGGGGTCTTTATTTGGGGTCATCATTTGGGGTCATTATTTGGCGTCTTTGGGTCATCGGTGTCTTCATTTGGGGTCTTCATCTGGGGTCTCTGCGGCCTTTATTTGGGGTCTTTGGGATCTTTGTGCCCTTGGAGGTATTTGGGGGGGTCCGGGGGTCCCCCACTGGGCGTTGGGTTTTGGGGCTCCGTGTCTGGGCCCCCCCTGACACCGCGTCTTGCAGGGCTGCTGCCCACCCCCAACCTCTTTCAGCTACCTCAGCCGACCGGGGGGCTGCTGCCCGCCCCCCCCCGCGCGGGGCTGCCCCAGCAGGTAGGGAC